TCCCGACGGAATCTCGTCCCACTTTCCTGGAATCAAAGGGTTATTTCCTAGAACCGTGCACCAGGTGTCTAGACAGGTTAGAGCAGGTCGGTAACTGGGTCAAGGCGAGAGAGAGAAGGATCGAAAAAATTACAGTTGCAATCGAAAGTCCAAGTGGTATTTTAAAAAGAATGCTTCTTAGAGTCCAACACGATTTTTGTTATTCTTGCTTATTTCAGAATTCTGAGATTGGGTTTACGAAATAGTGGGACATCTTTTATTGAACATACAATTACATTATAGTGTTTAACAAGAAAATTCCTTCAGTCTATTCAATTCTGCTTTACAATTTTTATTATAGTAAATTTCCCAATTTCTTCTGACTGGCTTAAAATATAATAATAATATACTTTAATAATTATGATCTTTTTAAATATAAAATAAATTCCTGTTTAGACTTCATTTTTTATATTTACCTTACAAATGATTTATTTTGCATAAACATTATAGAAAATCGAGCACTAGAAATTGCGATGTGAATAGAAGTTGGTACGTTTCCTATAATAACAATATGCATATGTAACATGATTTACTTTGGTTGAGATCAGATATGAAACAAACCAATTCTAAGAAGATCACACGATTGTTTAGAGCTCCCCGGGGGTTAAATTTAATTCTTGCGAAACAGCGAGCCGAGTGTCAGCTGTTTACTTTGTCCGAAGGTAAACCCGCGGTTTCTGTATGCAAATCTACTCATAACTCACTGGAAACGTATCGGACCGCGTCGGCAGCCGCACCGGAACGCAGCGACTTTCCCTCTGTCGTCCCAGCTTTCCCGGATCCGAATCCCGTCTCCTCGATATGTAAATCACTGTTGAAGATTCATGGATAGAAAAACAGAGACCCGAGAAGCTTTCATCTCTCGGAATCCCCTACTCTATTTTTATTAGATCCTTGTCTCATTGAACATGTTCCCAGAAATTGTATAATATTGTGATTTTCGTATCGGGTTTGCTCTCGGCGTTTCTGTAACCGGATACGCGTATCGGTTTAACCATCTTGATAGTTTCGATAATGCGATGCTCCTAACAGTCCGGCACATGTAATAGTCTGTTGACTTGATGCCCTCGATAATCCCAATTGTATAGTAATCTCGATCACACGTTAGGACACATCGATAATTCTAATCCGAGGTTCGACGGCTCAACATCCTTGACAATTTCAATGGAAAACCGGATCTCAGATAAATCAACCAACATATTAGGTGAAGTAAAAAGTTCTGAGCCTTTTTCGTTACATGGCTTTGGTGAGCCATATCTTACGATGTATACGTAGTATCTTCTCATTCTATACGGCAAATTAAAGGCAACATAACGCCTTAAAAAAAGTCTTGTGACAATTTTTTGATGAGTGAATCCAGTTGTGTGTTAGTGCGTTCCAAAGTGGAGGTAAAAAATGAGAAAATTCGATACATTATTCAGTACCACTACAACCAAGGGGAAAAAGCGATGCAGGCGGCCAAAAAATTTGTGCTGTTTATGAACCCAATACAGTATCGAATGCAATAGCAAAGCGGTGGTTCCAACGTTTCCGTTCTGGTAATATGGACGTCGAAGATGAGACACGCTCTGGTAGGCCAATCGTCGAAAACGTTGATAAAATCATGGAAATCGTCGAGTCAGACCGGCATGCGAGCACTTATTTTATTGCCCAGGAACTGAAGATTAGCCAGAAAACCGTTTGGAACCATTTGCATAAGGCTGGTCTCAAGAAGTCAATTTCATCGTCGAAATAAAGACAAAAAAGGCTCAGAACTTTTTACTTCACCTAATATAAAAAGTCATTATTCTTCTTAATTAAAAATGAATAAATTCTATTTGACAGTACGAAGTGTGGATAATTATATTTTAAAGAAATGAGAAGATGGGAGACGGGGATAGAATCGTGCTTAATCGAGTGGGCCAGCAATTCCGCATTCCTTGATTCGTAGCGGCGGCTAACCAAAACCGTACGGCTGGATATTGCCGCGGTACGTGATTCCACGATTATTATCGACGAGGGTGGCATTATTAATCTCGTTATTATTGCCGGTCGACAATGCGCGCGCAAACGTAGGCGAATTAGAGTTAACGATATTGGCCTGTTCCGATATTGCTCCGCGCGAGGATACATTTTCCGTCCCCCCGGCGTCCCTCCGCGGCGAGTAAATTATGATGATGCCGCGCAGCCATCCGTCACTGGAAATGTTATGTCACGACGGTGAACCGTAATCGTCACGTACATTGTGTCGCCGCTAATACGACACGCCCGATTGTATCCGCCGTATCCAAATTTTCCACGCTTCGGCTGAATTTCATTGCCGAGCCGCGCTGGGACTATCAAACAGCCGATGGAATTATTAAATGAATCGTTTCGAGACTGACGTCCTCGACAAGTTATGAACCTCTCGATTCTACTATTATTTGTTCAACAATATGGCTGCGTAATCGAATAAAATCTATTGAACTCAAGCTTGACAACTGATTTATTGACATAATTAAAAGGGACACTTATATATTTAATCAACTTCTTTTTAACTTTTAACAAATTAAAATTAATTTGTTCAATATTGCTCGATTTTATTAAGTATTCTAAAGGATTAAACGAATTAAATACTCAATTATTCGGCACCGGATTTATTTAATAAAAATTTGTATTGATTCTATAATCTCCGATTTTATGAAGGATTAACTTTTTACTCCTGGATTTATTTAAATATAAAGCCACGCTAATTGGGACAGTTATCCTATAGATTATTTAAAAAGTCTAGCAACAGTTTAGTTCAGAGACTGCCTGCGGACAAAAAGTGTTATTTGAACGACTTCACGCGATCGATTTCCTCTCTTTTTTGCCCCAACTTCCGTTTCCGCGTGCAGGGATCCTTGAACTGTGGATCATTGTTCCAAGTCTGTCACGATAAGCTCGCGCGCCGTGTCACTGCGTTTCCGGAGGCTTCGCGTAATCGCTGCACGCGCAATGAATTTTATGACGGATACGTGCGCCGAATTTGTCAACCAGGGACAGATAATGCGTCGAGCACCGTGATTGCGGATCGGTTCACAGACAAATTTTCTCAACTGCTGCTATTTCGAAAAAGCGGAAAAGAAAATTGTATCATATTTGCAGTCTGCAGTTACTTGCGCGAGCTTAGAGAATCGATGCGTTGTTAATTCATATTAATATTGAAATCAATAGTAAAGAATTCTTGCAATAAAATAAGAAATGTTAAATGTGACAACAATATGTGAGTAACAATAAAATCAATAAAAAATTGTAATATTGAAGAAACTGTTACTACAATTTCGTTATAAACCTGTTTTATTATAATAAAGTGTCTGTAATTCAGTTTTTATATTAAATATGTAATAAGTTTCATTCGGAACAGAGCGGACGCTCGTCACGTGGTCCACGAGGAAACCGGATGCAACAGCTTGCCGCGCAGCGGCTACCAGACTGCACTTCCGGTCGCGATGCAGCCCTTGGCCCGTGAATTAATATTTCATCGCCGCCGCGTTTTGTCCCATTCCTCTCTCTCTCTCTCTCTCTCTTCCGTTTCTCTTCCTCGGTTTTCACGGTTCGTTTTCTCCATCGACTGGTTCTCCATCGCCCTTTTGTTCCCGTTCGAGTCATTTACCTTTCCTCCGCATCTTTGACCGTGAATCCGTGAGCCGCGCCATTTACCATTCACCGCCGCCCTCCCCCGCCCGCGGAAAAGTATCGCTATTTACGGCTCACTACCACGGCTCCTGGGGGATTGTTTGCGCTCGCCTTTTTGTTCCCGCCGATCGATCAACGATCCCCGCTGCCTTCCATTCCGTTCCGGTTCCCGATCTTAATGCACCGTGACATTGCATTGCCCGACGTGATTCGAAGCTTCCACCGTTTCGCGTTCGTCGAGGACTCTAGCCATTGTTAAAGAATCCTTCGATGCTTGAATAGGATTTTAATTGGTCTCATTGGTCGCGAATAAAACGTTCCTCCGCTGTTTCCTTGTTCCAAGGTAAAAATATCGTGTCCACAATTGTTATCTACTGAATACATACAGACACGCCCGGGCTCTGCGGCCAGTCGACAGTTAATTTCAATCATCATCGTTCCGCGAGTCAACAGTCGCCGTGGTTGCATTCCGGTTAAGTCAACGTTACATCATCACGGCGCATCGCATCGCATATAGTAGCTTGCGATGCAGGTGGCCGATGCGATGGGGAGGAAACTATGCTAGGCAAACAGACGGGCCGAGATCCGGGATGCTACGAAGCCGATGAGCAAAATTCGATGACCTATATATCCGATGCACAATGCATTCTCCGCGGCACAAAGGGCACTCGGCGATGGAGAGAGGGGGAGGGGGCGAGACGCGCCGGGACCGCCTCGCGACTCTCCGTATCGATTCCGAAGTCAATACGTATCGCGATGACGTGTCAATATGAAGAGGACCAAGCGGGGTCACAATTAATTCTTGCATCGGAGCCAACTAAAGCGAAGGTGAACGGGCACCTCCCATCGATCTCGATGCCGATGAAAATTCCCACCATCTGGCTATCCGCAACCCTCGCGAATAGAATATCTTCAAGTGTCGGCCGGCGCTTACAGCGCGGAGGAACGTGCCTCGAATCCTCGAACGCCGAAGAGGTTTTTCGACGCTATTGACTAACTTGCGAAATGGGTGCTGAATGAAACCGGCCGGGTTTCACAGGATTCAATCTTTCCAATGGCACCCGCGTCGTGATTACTAAATTGCTGTCTGCACTTAGACGTTTTGAAACACGGAAAACGTGAAGCTGGATCAGTCTGTACAATAAACTGAATAATGCATTGGGTTGATTAAAATATTCTTTGTAACGAATTCCAACACGGCTCTGTTAATGAAACATGATAATACATTTTCTCCTCTTCCTTGAGCTCCTTTTTATTATTAAATAATTATAATGGTTTCTTTAAAGATCTGTGTCTGTATGAAAAATATGCCTGAATTTTTCCAGAACGAAAACAGAGCGCTGCGGTTAAAGGAGCCTGCATCGTTGGGTCTGTCTGCCGGAAATTCAGGCAATTACGTGGATTCTGATGGCACCGCCATTGTGATGTCGTCTGAATTACTGCCAGCACCCACCCCGGACCCGAGGGTGACTTGGAACTACTTCGACGAGCAAGGGTAATCAAATCATAATCAGTATCTTCATATCTATCATAAGTTCATTCCTAATCATTACTTTGCAATTTTAGTTAGATCATAGAATTATCATTGATTTTAATTTCTTACTCTTCCTTGTATCTACCACACGCTGTTTTAATCTTATTTTATTCCTTTGCATACATGCAGAGTTTATTTTTTCTTTTTAATTTTAACATCTCTGCCTGAACCCTCGTTTCGTTATTCTTTCTCTTTATTTCATGTATCGCGTCGTATCATCTATTTTTCTCTCTGCCCTTTATCTTTCCTGTCTGCTCCCTAATGCCTCTCCCTCCCTCTCATACATTTCAGATACCTCCTTTTCCGGTGTTATCTTCTATATACTTTAATCTATCCCTTTACATGTCTTCTTTATACCTTTCTTCCCTCCCTAAGATTGAAAACAATTATTTATAAATTCTGTTCAGAGTGACTAAACAGAATTATTTAAAGCAATGAATTATTCAATTACTTGCTATTGCAACTGATTTTTGCACTGATAGAACACTGGATAATGCATGTGAATTCATTGCATCTAATGACAATCCTTATTGACTCAGCTTGTAAATTCAGTTTCACCATCGGTGCAAGATTCACGGTGCGTGATTCTAATCCACGCAAGTACAATGCAAGTCACGATGACAGAGCGAGATAGAAAGTATTCGGAAAGCGGCTGGAACGCAATCTCGCTGCAAAACCGCAATAACTGAAACGGAATACTAATGTGCCCGGCGTCTATACATTGTTAACCGTTTGAAAAAGCATTGCGAGATCTACTATTAATGCGTCCGCAGCGGGACTACGGATCCTGGGATCTCTCAGTCTGCCGTAGCACATTAGTATCAATTATTTAGCTCGTGTGAAAAGTGTGTCACTTCTAAAACACAAGTTTCGAACTTAAATCTTATCTTCCTTCCTCCTTTATCCTTCCTCTTATTAAAATTATATGCATAATGCCTTCATTACGTGGTTTCCTCTATAATTTTTCTTATTTTATATAGTCGGTAATAATTTTATATGAAAGAACTTAGTTCAGACTTTCCTATTTTATATAGTCGGTAATAATTTTATATGAAAGAACTTAGAATTCTATCTTCGTTTTTATCAAATTTCTAATGGAATTTTTATAAGAATGAATAATATAACAATTATAATTTGCATTGTTTTCAAGATACGTCTCAAGAGGAGGACTGCGGGCAGGGGAGGATCCCTACGCAAGGAACAAATTCAACCAGGAAGCATCAGATGGACTTCCGAGCAACCGCGACATTCCCGACACGCGTAGCGCCATGTGAGTAACTTACATAATTCTTATTTCTCACATTTTACTTACATCCTATAGAAATGCATAAGAATCAGCAGTCTACTCAGGAAATGGTTCCCATTAATATTAGTTTTCTACATTGAGCTATATAAAACAACTGGAGTGTGAACGAAGGACGGCGGATGTTCGCCGACAAAGGGGAACCGTGGGAGAATCCTTTTCTCTTCCTAGGTTTATAATGCATGTTCAAATCAGACACGTAAACCAGAAATAATGAAGATTAATTTTAACATAGTTAAATGTACTAAAAGATAATAAAAATAGAGACAGGAAGTATAAAAATAGAATAGGGATTGCTTTGAGGTTCTCGCTTCTTAAAATTTGGGCGCTACTCTTCTATCTTACGGCCTCCGATAGCCGAGCGCAATCCAGTTAGACTGGGCGTTCGTAACACAAAAAATGGAACAATTTTTTACAGTCTGCTATTGATAGGGGAAATATTTACAGCCACAAGCTGTAGTTAGATGTACTTAAAAATCTTCGTTACGTGTTAATGCGTACTTAAACATTAACTTTAGTTAGCAAAAAGAACGTAGTTTCTTGAAACAACTTTCAAACAGTCTGCCATTTATTTGAGCACAAGACAAGATTGCGCGATCCATGAAAAGCTTATTGGCAGATGGTTTTCTCCAGTACAAGAATAAAGCGTACTTATGTTAGTTAGCAATTAAATCGTATAAGAACAATCGTCTAAGAACAATTTTTTACAATCTGCCAAGCTCAATTTAGGCTAATGTTAGCGTAAAGTTGACGAAATTTCACAAGGCAGACTGTTTGAAAGTTGTTTCAAGAAACTACGTTCTTTTTGCTAACTAAAGTTAATGTTTAAGTACGCATTAACACGTAACGAAGATTTTTAAGTACATCTATCTACAGCTTGTGGCTGTAAATATTTCCCCTATCAATGGCAGACTGTAAAAAATTGTTCCATTTTTTGTGTTACGAGCGCCCGGACTAA